TCTCTTTACCTTTTCCTCCTATTTTCAATTTTCTTTCTGACCTCTTGTTCATATCTTTGATTGGCGTCACATAATGTGTCATTGCCATGTCTTTTATTGCACACATCACATTCTATTATTCTTACTTTTCTTCCTCCATTAATTTTTTTCCTGGTTGGAAATGCTGATTTATTATATCCTACTTCGTATGTAATTTGTTCTTCTGCACTGGCTCCTGAGTATATGTCCGTGTTTTGTGGTATGAGAAAGATGTCACGATGTGCTGCATAGTAATTTTCTCCTAGCTGTTCTAGCTGTGCTAAGGAAGTCGGTTTGTGTTCTTTCAGAAATGTGATCATATATTTTAGTAAAGATTCTAACAATTTAATTCTTAATAGTAAATCAACTAACAGATCATAGTTGTTGTTAATTTTAGCGAAATCCACCCATTTCCGAAAAGTTCTCTTTGGACACATAGTCAACAAATGTTTGAGTTGATTTTAGTTTTAAATCAATGAATTGCAATATGTATCCTGCCTCTTGTAGGTCATAGTTCCTCATTATTCGGTCTTTAATATAATTGAAATCATGTCGTAAATGTTCTGGCACTGTTTCTAAAATTTTCAACGGTTCCCCTCCAAGATGTCTTTGGAACAGTATTGTCCAATCTTCTTTTTGAATTTTGTGAAACCGAACTTGAAGTAAAAATACTGAAATCCACGATCCAATGTCATCCTTTTCACCAAAATTCTTTATTAGTCCTTTGTACTTTGTAAATTTATGTTCTTCTTCTTTAGCTCTTTCCCTTCACAGAACTTTCTCAATTCCTCTCCTGATAACCCTAACTGTTTCCCCAGATTTATGTATTTTGCCAGGTTTGACATTTTAAAAATGTGCTTACTGTTAATTAATACTTTTAAAAGTGTTTAAATTTGTCTAATTTAAAGATAATTAAAGTATTTTATATTTTATAACCCTTTTTAACGAAGGAATTGAAAAATAAGTTTTATCCTCTATCAGCTGGTATAATTAAATGTAACAATAAAACAAAAATGATCTATTTTTCTTAAATAGAATAACAATTATAATATCACATTCAAAGAACTTGAAATGAGAAAAATGAAAGCATGTATATACAATTAATTCCTTTTCTTGGTCCTGATGCTGGCTCCCTCCCATATTATAGTAGGGTATATCCACTATGTTATTAACACATTGTCAGTCAGATTGTCTCATTATTCACAGTACAGTATATCCACCATGTTATTAACACATTGTATATCCACCATGTTATTAACACATTGTCAGTCAGATTGTCTCATTATTCATAGTACAGTACATCCACTATGTTATTGACACATTGTCAGTCAGATTGTCTCATTATTCATAGTACAGTATATCCACCATGTTATTAACACATTGTCAGTCAGATTGTCTCATTATTCACAGTACAGTATATCCATCATGTTATTAACACATTGTCAGTCAGATTGTCTCATTATTCACAGTAGAGTATATTCACCATGTTATTAACACATTGTATATCCACCATGTTATTAACACATTTTTAGTCAGATTGTCTCATTATTCATAGTACAGTATATCCACTATGTTATTGACACATTGTCAGTCAGATTGTCTCATTATACATAGTACAGTATATCCACCATGTTATTAACACATTGTCAGTCAGATTGTCTCATTATTCACAGTACAGTATATCCACCATGTTATTAACACATTGTCAGTCAAATTGTCTCATTATTCATAGTACAGTATATCCAATATGTTATTGACACATTGTCAGTCAGATTGTCTCATTATTCACAGTACAGTATATCCACTATGTTACTGACACATTGTCAGGGAGATTGTCTCATTATTCATAGTACAGTATATCCACTATGTTATTGACACATTGTTAGTAAGATTGTCTCATTATTTATAGTGCAGTATATCCACTATGTTATTAACACATTGTTAGTCAGATTGTCTCATTATTCACAGTACAGTATATCCACCACGTTATTAACACATTGTATATCCATCACGTTATTAAAACATTGTCAGTCAGATTGTCTCATTATTCATAGTACAGTATATCCACTATGTTATTGACACATTGTTAGTAAGATTGTCTCATTATTCATAGTACAGTATATCTACTATGTTATTGACACATTGTTAGTTAGATTGTCTTATTATTCATAGTACAGTATATTCACCATGTTACTGACACATTGTCAGTCAGATTGTCTCATTATTCATAATACAGTATCTAACATAATCATAACTCAAATCAATGCAATATGTGAAACAATACAAATTACATATCTGCCATTTAAATAATTACGTGATATCTGAATTTAAAAAAATGTTTAATGTATACTTTGAGAACTCGATTAACACGATGTATCGCAGTTATAACCCTGAGGGTTGAGTAGGATATTGTTAAAACATGACTACTACCACTGTTAATACTGCTGCTGCTGCTACTACTACTGCTACTACTATCCTGTTTAACCCATCTGGGTTACAACTGTGATATACAGAGTACTTTTTTCTCTGTGGATAATAGGTATTCATGTCTACCAGTTATGTTGGTTATGCAATATGGCATAGCTTATGTTTTAATTGTTTAAGATTGTTGCTGTACAAATTGTAACATTCAATTTATTTAAAATGTACTTTCGAACAGTTATGATAATTATATTTTGTAGTGTATCTTGGCGCATATTTAAATGCGTCTGGGAAACCATTATTCTGTTTCAAGATATGTTAGCATCTCATATGTGAATCCTCCCCGTGTGGATTCCGGGGCTCCATTGTGGAGAAAACAAGGATAGACCCACTGCCTCCCCAAAAGCATGTCGTAAGAGTCGACTAATTGGGAGCTTCCTTTGAAGTCGGAGTGCATCTGCCTGAGAGGCAATGAACCAACAGTCTGCATTCAAGTGAATCAGATCTGTAAAACTGATGCACACTCAACATTTAGGTTCTGGAGCAGGACTGCAGTCCAGAAGTGGACGAACAACCAGAACTTTCCGCCAGAGTGTACAGCTGGTGAACGCGAAGAAGAAGTAGAAGAAATGCGAATCCCTGTTTTTGTTATTTACTGTTTGATTCTTCCCAGCATGCTTTCAATTTTCAAAGGCTTTTTGCAGGGGATCATATATTCATTAAGGGGAATTCATATTTCTTACAGTAGAGTAAACAATGTTCAGTATGATTATATTTCTGACATACAGACTAGAGGTCTTCTGCTAAACTGAAGTAAGCCACTCCAAGTTGCAGTTACAGTCATTTCTTATTAAAAGGTATGTTTTGTTCACTTGTTGTATGGTATTTTCTGGTTGGAGCTTGAAACAATTGGAAGGCATGCCTTCCATTGAAGCTTTCAATGCACATCCCTGTGGTTATCTGTCAACTGACTTCACCAAATACAGTTTGAGTCCGACATCACAAAGCTGAAGGTAGTCGGTTGATTCCCTTATCTTGGCAGTACCCTGTCCCAAAGAGTCCCCATCGATTATGAGATCAACGCTGGAATCTCTAAGGCCATCAGCATTTTGGTTAGACCTCATATTTGGACGTCTAGAATTGAAATGCATCTCATTGCAGACGCTGCTAAGGGTTACAGGAAACTAATTATGTCAGTACTGCTGTGCGTATGAAAAAAAAAAAAAAAAAACCTGTCTTAGAAATTATGACAGGACTTGATTTTGTGTGTCGCGTTTTGTAGCACAGCTCTCTTCTTAGTTGCGTATGTCGATGTCACACCCAGGTTCGTTTTTAGGTTTGCTACAGGAGGAGTCGATTGGAAGATTATAGACGAGGAGAAAGATGGTCGTGTCGATAGTGGTGGTGATGATGATGTTGTCTTACTATCTGCATGCTTCTCACGTGACTCTGATTCTTGTATACAAAATGTCTGGGAACAACAGTTCTCGTCTATACTGTCTTTATACTGTCAGTGATATTCTGAATAGCGCTGTGTCTTCTCTATGGCTAAATACTCGTAGGTTCGCGTTGTGTTCTTCATCTCTAGTTACTTTGTTAAACTGGTTCTACTGTCTCTAACTGCCACCTGGTTTCTAGTGCTGTTTGGTACAAACGGCTTGGTCGTTGACTCTAATATCTCTACTGTGTTCCTAATGTGTCGCTGTTAACCATGGATCCATGTATCTTGGGTGTCGTCTCTGTAGCTCAATATCTCGTTTCATGTCTGCTCTCCAGTTACTGTCTTCGAGGTTCAATATGAAAGGCTGCTCTGCTTCCAGTGTTGAGCTGGCATCAAGGATCATTGAGACTAGCCGCTCGTCCTCTGAGTCTCAACGACTGAAGGCTTCTAGTGTTGGGCTTACATCTCTACCACTGAAGGCTGCATTGAGAGCCCATGACTGGTCTCTTTCCTCTCGAGTCTTGTGGACTGAAGAATTGCTAAAGTGCTTTGTTACTCGTTATTTATACTTGGATGCTGGAATGCTAGATATTTGTTTTCTTCTCACTCTTTTTGCTTCTAGAATATTTTATTACATCTCAACTTGTTTACTAGGTAGGTTCTCAGGTGGGATTTGCTAATTATATCTTAATTGCATCACATTTCATCATCTTTTTCTGCGCAGCTATCGTAGTTAAATTGACAATTGAGGTCATAGAAGCTTCTAAAATACAAGGACAATTGCTTTTGCTTTGATAGAGCACGACAACAAGGTATTTACTAGTACGACAAGGTTGGGTCACATGATGAAAAGAATGCATTTCAAAACTTCTAGAAAGAAGGCCAAGGCCAGACAACCTCAATTTGATGTCAACAGCTAGTTTTGGCGGGAAAAGAAGATTCTGGAAAAGGGAATGTCAAGGCTGCCAAAACTTGTTGATTTTCAGTACATCATAATTCTGCGTAATAACCTACTCCCCACAAACAAGTCAGGATGTCTCCCTGTGACAGTTTCTCAGTGCGGCAACCGGGTCCATCACCCATACAATTGTGTATCCTTATCGACTATCAACGTTTCATAATGACTCAAGAGCAGATGACACTTCAAGCTACCCTGCAAGGGCGTGAAGGCTGGGAACACAGATCGCAACAAACCCACAATACCCTGATATGATTCTGTCAGCCCCCAGAGACGTCTCATCCTGTGAAAACTAACAAGACATGACACTAACTGTGGCGTGCCATACAAGTTACTCCATGGACACAGACACTTCGTCAGCAATGTTGTGCTGTCTTTAGATAGGCAGTTCACTTTGTCTTCATCCTGGGATAAAACACTGCGCTTGTGGGATTTGGTTGAGGGCAAGACCACTTGTCGCTCTGTTGTTCATAAGAAGGATGTTCTCAGTGTAGCCTTTTCTGCTGACAGCCGTTAGATTGTGTCTGCCTCATGTGACAAGAACATGAAGTTGTAAAACACTTTAGGTATTTGCAAGTACACCATTCAGGAGGACGCACACAAGGATTGGGTATCAATCAGGAGGACACACTTAAGGATTGGGTATCAATCAGGAGGACACACTTAAGGATTGGGTATCACTCAGGAGGACACACACAGGGATTGGGTACCATGTATTTGATTCTCACACGATGCTCCAACCCAATCATTGTCTCTTGCGGCTCGGACAAAACAGTCGAGGTATGGAACCTTACAAACTGCTAACTGAAGACCAATCACACTGGCCACACCCAGTTCTTGAACTATGTCACTGTGTCACCTAATGGCTCTCTCTGTGTTTCTGTTGGCCAGGACAGTGTCAAAGACCTTATATCTGCCGAAACGGCATATGGCTCCACCAAAGCCCTGTGACAGATGCATCTTTTCTACGCACACTAAACCATACCACCTACAGAGCACACAACAATCTTTAGTGCAAAGAACAATATTACACAACGCAATGTAACCCAGAACTCGTGGGGCACCCCTATCAAAACAAAGGACACGAAGGCTTTACAAATCACTTCTCACTTCTATCACGTTCATATGGATAGTACTGGGTCTAAACCAACGCCTTTTCCGTACAGTCTTTACCTCCGCCATTGAAAACACCAGGGTCGATTGGTGTCTGCCGGATGCCGGGCAAAGTGAGAGAGCACAGATCAAATAACAATGACCAATACAAACCATTATTTATCAGACTGACGATAATACCTAACCAGGTACCCAAGTAACAAGCTACACCCAAAATCTATCCCTGTCGACGCGGTATACCACACGATTACTGCTACTGTCTACGACACATCGCAACATAGACTATCGGTCAGTAATCTATAGGTAAATCAGTAAATCTACACCTAAAATGAATATTGCAGTCGAACGGTCGAATTACGACAACGTCGCTACAGTCACATGCCTGGAATATAACTCTCTCTACGACTAGCTGTCAGCTAGTCTTATTGGAGTCCAAAAATCAGTCGAGCGTTCTTGTGATACTCATGACTTAGCAAGTGAAACACTCATTCGGGCATAGGTTCCCACTGTCATCTGTCCGTCGTAGTAAAATCCGGTTCATGCCTAGGTCAACAAGGTGCAGGCACAAACAATTCACTATTATCATACTAACTGTTCCATACCCACATCAGACTAGCATCTGACAAACGGCCAAGCCATGTTGTGGGACCTGAACGAAGGCAAGCACTTCTACGCCCTCGATGGCGATGACCGCATCAATGCAATGTGCTTCTCTCCCAACCAATACTGGATGCGATCTGCCACATGAACTGGTACCAAGATCTGGGATCTAAAAGGCTAAGTCACTGTTGACGAGCTGAAGCCTGATGTGACGGCAGCCGGAGCCCGCAGAAAGCCACCACAGTGTCTCTCCCTGGTCTGGTCATCTCATGGACAAACACTGTTTACTGGCTACAGTGATAAGCTAATCGGTGTCTAGCAGGTGTCAATGGCTACAGCGATAAGCTGATCCGTGTCTGGTAGGTGTCTAAGGCTACAGGGATAAGCTGATCCGTGTATGGCAGGTGTCAAAGGCTACAGGGATAAGCTGATCCGTGATTGGCAGGTGTAAAGGCTACAGCGATAAGCTGATCCGTGATTGGCAGGTGTCAAAGGCTACAGCGATAAGCTGATCCGTGTCTGGCAGGTGTCAAAGGCTACAGCGATAAACTGATCCGTGTCTGGCAGGTGTCTAAGGCTACAGCGATAAACTGATCCGTGTCTGGCAGGTGTCTAAGGCTACAGTGATAAGCTGATCCGTGTCTGGCAGGTGTCAATGGCTACAGTAATAAGCTGATCCGTGTCTGGCAGGTGTCTAAGGCTACAGGGATAAGCTGATCCGTGTCTTGCAGGTGTCTAAGGCTACAGCGATAAGCTGATCCGTGATTGGCAGGTGTCAAAGGCTACAGCGATAAGCTGATCCGTGATTGGCAGGTGTCAAAGGCTACAGCGATAAACTGATCCGTGTCTGGCAGGTGTCAATTGCTACAGCGATAAGCTGATCCGTGATTGGCAGGTGTCAGTGGCTAAAGCGATAAGCTGATCCGTGTCTGGCAGGTGTCTAAGGCTACAGCAATAAGCACAAGTCCGACTTTCAGGGCTCAAATTAGACTGATCTTCCTACTCACAATCATTACTCTTTAGTCATTTGTTTTCGATTTTGGAGTCTCTTGGCGCGATTTGAGGTTTTATTTACAATCGCTGTGGCAAAATTAGTAATTTGCACACACACAAAAATTATATGAAAAAAAAAAAAAAAAAAAATGGCAAAAGGAGTTATGAATAACCTTCTAGAACACTTCCTGTTGTATGAGCATAACATGGATTTTATTTCAAGGAATTTGAAAGTGCTGAAAGTGCGGGGTAATGAGCAGTCTGCTAGACTGACTGCTGCTACACCTCTGGGTTGTGAGCTACTCTGTAACAAATCGGACGTGGTGAAGACTCTGGAATAGAAAGGAGGGATGAGCAGAGGGTTTGGAGAATACCAACAGGGGAAAATATAGGCGGACTTTTGATGCAGCTGGTACTATTGTCGACTCTTCGTTGGAAGGAGAGGGAGCACGTTTGGTAATGACCTGAGTGCCAGGATGTCATTTCTAGATTCATTCATTCATTCAGTCCCTGTTGTATGCATGTGAAACATGGACAATAGCAGGTACAATTAGAAACGTCTCATGGCATTGATTTCTGGAGAATGCTATAAAGATCATGGATGGACACAAATTTATTTGAGGCGGCCATTTAAGCAATAGATGACAACATCAGAGAAATTATACACGCAAGACATTTGGACATTAAAGAAACTTGAAAACGTGTTGTCGGCCAGCACACTTTGTCTGTATGAATTTAGGCAAGGAGGGATGAAGAGGTAAAACATGGATGACTTTAGAAAATGTTAGGAACGGGGCAACAACAGGCCTGGTCCCTGAATCCATGGCTGTGTGAGCTGGCGAATTGTACACGCCTGCACGAGATGGACATGCAAATAATGACGGTACTTGCTATCTACAAGCTAAGATTGACTGATTAGCGTTCCAACTCACCAGGATATTATCAGTGAATATCACACGAGCGAAAAACAGCCGGTGATGCAAAGTGTCACCAAAGGAATAAGGATCACACCGGGGTCAGGTCACAGAAACCCCGTTCAATGCATAGGTTGGGTTATTTTAGGGCCCCAAGCAACAGCCGGAGTAAGGTTTAAAAAAAAAAAAAATGGTGTCCTATTTTGGGACGGTGTGTGATCCTGCAATAGCGAGACCTCTCCGCCATTACTCGCATAGCTGTGCAGGCGTGGTTTAAGTGAACATCCAAACAAACAGTATGTACACTGAACGCTGGATTGGAGAATACTGTCGCTGCATGATGAGAATGATATGAGGTAATGTATCAGTAAACTGAGAATATGACATAATGTATCAATATAATGAAAATGATATGACATATTGTGCCAATAAATCATCAACATCGCTGTCTCGGTTACTGCCCCTTCTAATTTGCCAGGCTGGCTGACTGTGGGGACATGTTCTTTTCAGAGAAGCCGCTTAGAAAGGTAGTCCGATGTAGTGTAAAAATGTGTTCAGATTTATAATTGGTTTGAAATGAAATATAATAAATAATACAAACTTAAAATGATGACAAAAAAGTAAGACGCATATATCGTTAAAATAAAGGTCAAAAAACAAAAGTTTCTTCTTCTTCTTTTCCACCATTATTTACTTCAGCGAGTGTTGAGGGGGAGGGAGAGGAGGGGGGGGGGGGTGTGTAAGGTTCCTTTGTGCGCTTTTTCCAATGCACTGTACTGTTGGTGTTCATTTCCGTTAGGCTGCTCCTAATGATGTCGGTCCATATCTTTCGAGGTCTTCCCCTTGCTCTCTGTTCATTATATTTTTCAGCGTTTGGCAGCTGGTACCAGGGCATTCTCGTCAGGTGGCCAAACCATCTCATTTGCTGTTCTTAACATGAATTATATGACTGGTTTTAGTCCTAGTCTTCTAATTTCTGCATTCTTGATTTTATTTTTTTTTCTTATCACACCGGCAGCTCTCATTGCTCTAAGACATCGCATCTCAATGTTGCGATCTTCCGCTCGTCAGTTACAACAAAGGTCGTGATTGGCATTGGAAGCACAACGTCAGCCAAAAAAAGTTCTAATGAGAGATGCTTTGGTTGACAGCCGGCTCTGTGGCTAAGTCGATGCAAACGTTTCGTAATGCTGGGGTACTGGGTTCGATCCCAGCTGCGGGCCATGCGTCTAGCGTTGGTTTCGACAGTAGTATCAGGGGGCCGACCGTCCAGTAAGCAATGGCAAACTACTGGACTTAAATTGCCTACAGAAACCACAAAACTGCCAGGGGCTGCTAGGGTTGGTTCTGCAACGTCCTGTAAAGAAAACGCAACTAACCTTTTCTATGGGTCAGATGTGGTGGTAATTGTCCCATAACCTGATTTGCTTTCACACATCGTAAGTTGATTTCTTGATCCATTGTTACATCTGATATCTTGCTCAATATGTATGTCTGCTATATACCTCCTCCTGTTGCTGCTATGTCTGTATTTGACACAAACAGAGTATGTATGTCTGTTATAGACGTCCTTCAACTACTCCTGTGTCTGTGTCCCACTCCCACACAGTATGTATGTCTGTTATAGACGTCCTTTCAACTACTCCTGTGTCTGTGTCCCACTCCCACACAGTATGTATGTCTGTTATAGACGCCCTTCAACTACTCCTGTGTCTGTGTCCCACTCCCACACAGTATTAATGTCTGTTATAGACGTCCTTCAACTACTCCTGTGTCTGTGTCCCACTCCCACACAGTATGTATGTCTGTTATAGACGCCCTTCAACTACTCCTGTGTCTGTCCCACTCCCACACAGTATGTATGTCTGTTATAGACGTCTTTCAACTACTCCTGTGTCTGTGTCCCACTCCCACACAGTATGCATGTCTGCTATAGACGTCCTTCAACTACTGCTGTGTCTGTGTCCCACTCCCACACTGTATGTATGTCTGCTATATACCTCCTCCTGCTACTGCGATGTCTGTATCTGACTCCCACACAGTATGTGAGTCTACTATATACCTCCTCCAACTACTGCGGTGTCTGTGTCCCACTCCCACAGAGTATGCATGTCTGCTACAGACGTCCTTCAACTACTGCTGTGTCTGTGTCCCACTCTCAGACAGTATGTATGTCTGCTATATATCTCCTCCTGCTATTGTTATGTCTTTATGTGACTCCCACACAGTATGAATGTCTGTTATAGACGTCTTTCAACTACTGCTGTGTCTGTGTCCCACTCTCAGACAGTATGTATGTCTGCTATAGACATCCTTCAACTACTGCTGTGTCTGTGTCCCACTCTCAGACAGTATGTATGTCTGCTATAGACGTCCCTCAACTAGTGCTGTGTCTGTGTCACACTCCCACACAGTATGTATGTCTGCTATATACCTCCTTCTGCTACTGATATGTCTGTATCTGACTCCAACGCAGTATGTCTGCCTGCTAGATACCTCCTTCAACTACTGCTGTGTCTCTGTCCCACTCTCACTCAGGATGTATGTCTGCTAGATACCTCCTTCAACTACTGCTGTGTCTGTGTCCCACTGTCACTCAGGATGTATGTCTGCTAGATACCTCCTTAAACTACTGCTGTGTCTCTGTCCCACTCTTACTCAGGACGTATGTCTGTAAGATACCTCCTTCAACTACTGCTGTGTCTGTGTCCCACTCTCACTCAGGATGTATGCCTGTAAGATACCTCCTTTAACTACTGCTGTGTCTGTATCCCACTCTCATGCAGTATGTCACAAAAGCCATTAACAATGGCAGCATTGATTTGATTACTCTGTGATAACCTGGATCTCGGTGTCACTTTGTTTTTTCACAGGTCAGCCCTAATTTCAACATTCAACAGTTCAGCCCTAATTTCATGGTAGCACAATGTTAGCAACAAACAAACAAAAAAAAAAAAAAAACCGTTTATATGAGATATTCTTTGACTGACAGAGGTATCTTTCTAAGTGTCAAAAGTGGTTGTAATTGTCCTATAACCTGATTTGGTTTCGCACATCGTAAGTTGATTTCTTTGTCCGTTGTCTCATTTGAGGTGAAAAATTACCCTTTTTATTTAAATTCACTCGTTTGTTTTATTTCTGTGTTGTTTGCTTTAACTGAAATGCTTTTTTCTTGTCTACCTATTACCATTGCCTCTGTCTTATCAATGCTTATTCTCAAATGAAAATTGTCACATTTGGTATTGACTTTATTATGTAGTTCTGTAAACATTTTTTTCTGTTTCAGCTATCAATAACAAATAATAATTCTGAGATATCATCTTTTTACTTCGCTCTCTGGTTCTTTGTAAATACTCTCCATATATATTATAAAAAGCACCTCTGTCTTAATACTTCATTTACCTCAAAAGGTTGTGATTGTCCTGCTTTTGTTCGTATGCAACTTTACTTGATGTACATAAGCTTTTACACACATCAGTCAAATGTTTGTTAATTCCATATCTTCTTAAGCAATTCCACAACATATCCTATCCATTCTTTTAAACGCCTTTTCTTGGTTTGTAGATGCGACTGCAACGGCTGATAAATCTATATATATTTATAACGAAGTAAGTAATAAGATCTGGTTTATAGTGTCGTGATAGTTGTATGGTAAAGCTGACAGGCTACTTGTTTTCTGAGCAATAAAATACCACAACATGATGGTAGGTTTAATTGGCTTGGTTCTGATTTATACGTCAGGTAAGCCGTAAGTGACAGCTGATGCCGGATGTGTCCTGGCCACAGGGGAGGAGCAGACGAGATCTGGAGACGGAGTGACAGGCCGCTGCACTTCAGCTCAACGTTGTTGTTTCTCTCGCTCATTCACATGGCATCCAGCCTTCCTCACACATCTACCACTTCATCTCAGGTAAATGGCTGGCCTAACCGTGTCTATCACTTTGTATGTACATAAATTTGTTGCCTAATAATAACTAATAACACTGCTGGCTGAGTGGACAATGTCACAATCCAGTCACACAACAAATGTTGTCCGACTCACTACTAAACTAAACTCTTGTGTTGTGTGTGTAAAACACCAGTCGTCAGTACCACTGTGAACACTTGTATTCTTCTCTAGTATTGGATTGTGTGTGTAGTGTAAACCGTAAGTACTAGGATAACGACAGCCACCTGTCCTTTTTGGATCATGAAGTTGTGCAGCTAGTTTGAAGAACAACGTCTGCTGTGACTGAAATCCAATACCCTAAGGGAGTGGCAATCTCTACCACATAATAATGTATTTTGTTGTTTAGGCCTACTTTTTATTCTTTAATCAGTTTTGGTAAGATGGTTTGTTTAATCAGCAATTGTTGTCCCTCATTCCTTGTTGCCCTCTCATACATCTTATTTGTAGTGCTGAGTGAATTAATAATATATTCAATCACCAAAGTTGCATAGGGACACATAATTTATCAAATTAAAGAGAAATGAGTGTAGACTAAATCTAAACTATTTAAATGACAGTGTTACAACAGAATAATATTAAAATCACACAGTATTCAACAATGTTAGACCCATGTGAATATTTTTACCCCCCCCCCTCCCCAATAAATGATGTGCTTATCTTATTATTTAATTGTGTAACAACACTTCTATCCATTTCTAAGAATTCATATGCCTTCTCTGTTCAGTTACATATCAGCTGGTCTTTATTTGAAACAATTAATTTAAATTCTTTGCATGTTATGATCATTTTTGTATGACATGTCAGATTTCGCAACAACCGAAAATCGGGAAAACTGCTGATAGAAACAGATGATCTGATTGAAATGTTTTGTTCAGTCTTCATCCAAACCTAAATTATTGGCAGTAGGTTTAGCACATGCATAAAAAGTCACAATATCAAGACTATTGTCACTATCTGGCTGAGATTCATCAACGACAGTGTACAGTTCCAGACCTTTTCCCTCATCATTTGCTATAGTAAACTCACATACAAATTGTATCACATTTAACAAATTTAAAATGATTCTGAAAGAGAGACAAAAGCTATGCTGATCTTCGAAAACAAAAGGCTTTGTTTTGCTTATTCATTTTTCCAGCAAACAAAAAAATGTTACAGTATCTCAATGAAAGCCATTTACATGGCGTTGGGCCCTCACAGAGTTCAATTGTTTAGCCTCTTTATTGCTCAAGCAAGTCTCTTTCTTTTTTGTTTTGTGCATTTGACGTTGTCATTTCTGTTAGCTTTTTGCGTTTCTTCTTTCTTTAATTAACCTAAGTATTTCTACAATGCTGTGATTCTTTTTCTTAAAAACTTTTCTAGGAGTCATTTTGTGCTGCTGTAATCCGAATCTCTCTTACCTGATTGGCTAGTTGATCAGATGACATCTCATCCTGAACTGCCAACATTATTTCACACATAGTGTTCACGTCCATACTGTACTCAGATGGTATCAGATTGACATCAGAATGGACTGGAGGTACTCCTTTTGTAACGCGCCACAAGCAGTCTATGTTCCAGGTCAAAATCTGCACAATTTTAGGAGTATTAAAGGAGAATTAGTTTTCTTGATTGAATGATTGTAGTTTTATTAGAGGATAATTAGTTTCCTTGACTGAATGTTCGTAGTTTTAGAGGAGAATTAGTTCTCTTGTCTAAGTGTTTGTATTATAAGAGGAGAAGTAGCTCTCTTATCTTATTGATTGTAGTTTTAGAGGAGAATTAGTTCTTGTCTTAGTATTTGAAGTTTTAGAAGGAGAATTCGTTCTTGTCTTAGTATTTGTAGTCTCAGAGGAGAATTAATTCTTGTCTTAGTATTTGTAGCTTTAGAAGTCAATTAGATCTCATTATTCATACAGATAGATTGGGGAATCAGTTGTCTGCCTATTCATTATTTACTGTGTGTCAGAGTACACCTGTTGACGCAGCAAGGTGATCAGGTCTAATGTTAACTTTACAATGATAACTTTAACTGTCCGTTTTATGTTGTCTAGTGGGGTCTCTTCCTGTCTCTGCTTTCCTGAGTGCTGATCCATAAATATAAATTTATTTTCACTTGCCAGTTTGAGTAAATTCCAGGTTAAGGAGTTAGATGACAGTTGTGTCACGTCCTTTTTAGTGGGAAATTGTTTTTCCTGTCGTTTTATGGACTTTAGTGGGCAACACACAGTATGTGCACAAGCTGGGAGGATTGAAGCAGTTGAAGAGAGGCAGTAATGGGAAATCAATGAGTTTATATGAGCAAGCTGAAACTACCAGCAGGGTGAATCTGTCTTAAGAATATTGATACCTGGACACAAGGGCACTTTATTGATTGACACTGTATGTTTAGGTAGATATCACAAGCAGGTCTCCAGTTACCTGTAATAATGTTAGGTTGAACTGGTTGTCAGCTACACACTGCTACAGCTCATGAGTTTACTCACACTGACAGGATTGACTGACCCCAGATGGCTGGTTTTGTGTGTGTTTCACTTAGGGAGATTGCCACTTTTGCTGGAATCTCCTTGTGTGAATGGTATGTGTATGTATGTATGTGGGGTATGTGTCTGTATATGTAGTGTTTGTGTCAGTTTGTATATATATATATATAAGTAAGATTGCAAGCCTAAAAGCACAAGGAGTTGGAAGGATACTGACTTTTGCGGATGATATACTTGCATATGGGCAGGGGGAAGAGAGGGAACAAACAGCCGAGTGCTACAAGCGACAGTAGACAAAGTGACTGAGTGGTGTACAGAAATGAGGGCTGTCGTCCACTCGGAAAAGGCATCTGTTTTGTAGTGTTTACTGGACAACAGGATCATTAAAGCTAATGTCCCAGATCTCACGATAGATGGTAGATGATAGATGCTATGTCTCTGTCCCACTCTCACTCAGGACATATGTCTGCTAGATACCTCCTTCAACTACTGCTGTGTCTCTGTCCCACTCTCACTCAGGATATATGTCTGCTATATACCTCCTTTAACTACTGCTATGTCTCTGTCCCACTCTCACTCTGGACGTATGTCTGTTATATATCTCCTTCAGCTACTGCTGTGTCTGTGTCCCACTCTCACTCAGGATGTATGTCTGTAAGATACCTCCTTTAACTACTGCTGTGTCTGTCCCACTCTCACCCAGGATGTATGTCTGTAAGATACCTCCTTCAACTACTGCTGTGTCTGTGTCCCACACCCACGCAGTATGTGACAAAAGCCATAAACAATGGCAGCATTGATTTGATTACCGTATGATAACCTGGATCTCGGTATCACCTTGTTTTTTCACAGGTCAGCCCTAATTTCCTGTGAGACAGCACATCCCACAGGAGTCATGCTGCTGTGCTTTCACCCCTAGCATCCTAGTCAGTGTCATTAAGGGGCTGGTGCCGGTGGGCCCACACCATGGACAGGTGTAGCAAGTTCCGAGTGTTCAATGTGTTGTTGGTTGTGTGCGTGGCCAACTTCCTCTTGTACCGCTACTTTAGCCAGGCCGGCATGCCTACACTTTCAGGGCTAATCTTCAAAGATGCCTCCCTCAGGGTGACACCTGACAGTTCAGCAAACTCTTCCGGCAGTATCCTCACACTGAGTAGACTCACAAACGGTACAACACCGGCCTCATTTTCTCACAGTGCCCACAACTCCAGCCTTGGCTTGCCACTGTGCCCACTAGTGCCTCCTAGTCTCAGTAAGTACTTCATCTGGCATTTTTGTGTAGGTACATTTGATCTCCCATGTTGCTAGAAATACTTTCAAGTCCGACTTATTTCTGTAAGTAAATTTAATCTGGCACATTTCTGTAAGTAAACTACATCAAGCATGTTTCTGTAAGTAAATTATCTGTGGCAAATTTCTGTAAGTTAATTTACTTTGGCATGTTTCTGTAAGCACATTTTATCTGACATATTATATATTTTTAAATATTGTTTCTTAATCTTTTTTTTTTTCTGACATGTTTATATCAGTAAATGTTATCTAATCTTCTCTCTTTTGATTTGTTCCAGATTGTATCGTGTCTGGTCACTGTTGCATTTTTTTTCAGACATCTCATTTCCATTATTACAAATTTTCTGCTAGTGATCATGTCTGGCACTGGTAGCATAGGCTGGGAATCAGTCTGCTTTGTATGGTGCAGGTCTTTGTGCTGATTGACTCAAAGAGAGGGGATAGCTTTCCCAATGCTTGGTTTACTTTATTTCATTGGATGTTCATTTCTTCATCCGATTTGTTGTCTTCGATGAATGTTGTTTCTTCTATGCCTGTTTAATTCCTTTGCCCACTTCTACTTTATTTAAGTTGTTTCTTTCTTCCTGTTTTTTTTCTTTCTATTACCTGTCGGAGTGTTAATATTGCTTTTTGGCAGCTTCTTTGTCTTCTCCATCCAGTTGTGCTTCTTCTGCCAATGTTGGTTCTATCACTGGTCTTAGCCTTGTTCTGTCAATGTTGGTTTTATTGTTGGTCTTAGCCTTGTTCTGTCAATGTTGGTTTTATTGTTGGTCTTAGCCTTGTTCTGTCAATGTTGGTTTTATTGTTGGTCTTAGCCTTGTTCTGTCAATGTTGGTTTTTTTGTTGGTCTTGGCCTTGTTCTGTCAATGTTGATTCTATCACTAGGTCTTAGCCTTGTTCTACCAATGTTTTGTTGTTGTTGGTCTTAGCCTTGTTTTGTCAATGTTGATTCTATCACGGGGTCTTAGCCATGTTCTGTCAATGTTTTGTTGTTGTAGGTCTTAGCCTTGTTCTGCTAATGTTTTGTTGTTGTGGGTCTTAGCCTTGTTCTGTCAATGTTGATTCTATCACTGGGTCTTAGCCTTGTTCTGTCAATGTTGGTTCTATCACTGGTCTTAGCCTTTTTCTGCCAATGTTTTTTTTGTTGTTGTTGGTCTTAGCCTTGTTCTGTCAGTGTTGGTTCTGTCACTGGTCTTAGTCTTGTTGTGCCAATGTTGATATTATTGTTGGTTTTAGCCTTTTTCTGTCAATGTCGATTCTATCACTGGGTCTTAGCCTTGTTCTGCCAATGTTGGTTTTTTTTTTGTTGGTCTTAGCCTTGTTCTGTTAATGTTGATTCTATCACTGGGTCTTAGCTTTGTTCTGTCAATGTTTGTTCTGTCACTGGTCATAGCCTTGCTCTGTCAGTGTTGTGTTCTATCACTGGTCTTAGCTTTTTTCTGCCAATGTTGGTTTTATTGTTGATTTTAGCCTTGTTTCTGTTATCTTATCACACATTGTTCTACTTGACTGAGGAGACAGATGCCTTGGTATATAACACATGTGCCTCTGTCTATTTTATCTGACACCTGTCTGTCAATCTATCTTCTCTGAAGTATTTCTGTAAATCTGTTTTATCTTATACGTTTCTGTCAGTCTATTTTATCTGATATGTTTCTGTCAGTCTGTTTTATCTGACATGTTTCTGTCAATCGGGTTTATCTGATGTGTTTCTGCAAGTCTGTTTTACTTAACATGTTTCTGTAAACCTGTTTTAGCGAACATGTATTTATAAATCTGTTTTAACGAACATGTATTTATAAATCTGTTTTAACGAACATGTATTTATAAATCTGTATATTGTTTTCTGTTTTGTGTGTGTGTGTAAATATATTTAATCTGACATGTTTCTATATATTTATTTGATATGTTTCTCATATGAATTTCAGCCGACATGTTTCCATAAATATATTCTAGTTGACATCTTTACGTAAATATTTGTTTTTAAACTGAGATATTTCTGTACTGTAAGAGTCTGGTCTCACATATTTTTACATGGTTATCGTTTCTTGTTTGCCCATGGGTGAATAGTTTACGGTCTGTCTGTCCATGCATATAAAGAGTGAGTGGTCTGCTAGATTTGTCTGTCTGTCTGTGAATAAAAGGAGTAAGTATTCTGCTAGGTTTGTCTCTCTGTCCATGGGTAGAAGGAGTAAGTAGTCTGCTAGATTTGTCTCTCTGTCCATGGGTAGAAGGAGTAAGTATTCTGCTAGGTTTGTCTCTCTGTCCATGGGTAGAAGGAGTGAGTATTCTGCTAGATTTGTCTCTCTGTCCATGGGTAGAAGGAGTGAGTAGTCTGCTAGATTTGTCTCTCTGTCCATGGGTAGAAGGAGTGAGTATTCTGCTAGATTTGTCTCTCTGTCCATGGGTAGAAGGAGTAAGTAGTCTGCTAGATTTGTCTCTCTGTCCATGGGTAGAAGGAGTGAGTATTCTGCTAGATTTGTCTCTCTGTCCATGGGTAGAAGGAGTGAGTAGTCTGCTAGATTTGTCTCTCTGTCCATGGGGGAAGAAGGAGTGAGTATTCTGCTAGATTTGTCTCTCTGTCCATGGGTAGAAGGAGTAAGTAGTCTGCTAGATTTGTCTCTCTGTCCATGGGTAGAAGGAGTGAGTATTCTGCTAGATTTGTCTCTCTGTCCATGGGTAGAAGGAGTAAGTAGTCTGCTAGATTTGTCTCTCTGTCCATGGGTAGAAGGAGTGAGTAGTCTGCTAGATTTGTCTCTCTGTCCATGGGTAGAAGGAGTGAGTATTCTGCTAGGTTTGTCTCTCTGTCCATGGGTAGAAGGAGTGAGTATTCTGCTAGATTTGTCTCTCTGTCCATGGGTAGAAGGAGTGAGTAGTCTGCTAGGTTTGTCTCTCTGTCCATGGGTAGAAGAAGTAAGTATTCTGCTAGGTTTGTCTCTCTGTCCATGGGTAGAAGGAGTAAGTATTCTGCTAGGTTTGTCTCTCTGTCCATGGGTAGAAGGAGTAAGTAGTCTGCTAGATTTGTCTCTCTGTCCATGGGTAGAAGGAGTGAGTAGTCTGCTAGATTTGTCTCTCTGTCCATGGGTAGAAGGAGTGAGTAGTCTGCTAGATTTGTCTCTCTGTCCATGGGTAGAAGGAGTGAGTAGTCTGCTAGATTTGTCTCTCCCACCCCCAAACACCCCCCCCCCCCCCAAAAAAAAATTATCAAGACATCTCATGTTTTTCCATGAGGTTTTGATAATGTGTGGGGGGGGGGGGGGGGGAGGGTGTTAAACTGAAGGTTATTATTATTGTTTTAAAACTGAAGATGCCAGTCGAATGCCTTACAATGTTTGTAACTAATATTTAATAGGTTTTGTTGATGTTTATATTATGCAACCTGTAAGACTTACATCATTTTTGGAATAGGCTTATTATTATAGTCTTTAAAACGTTCAAGTAATGTCAGTATAAATTAGAACACATTCCAGCATGTGTAATTAAATTAAGACTTAGATATTGTAAAAAAAAATTCCCTTTTTTTTTTCTTTTCTATATTTCTTAAATATTTAATTTTGCATTCCTCTTTGTATTATTATTATTAATATTATTGTTATTATTATTAACTATGAAATGAGGTACACATGAAAAATGGTATGAAAGGAGCGGAGTGCAAGGGCAGAATGTTAGACGGGCCTGAGTGCCCAATTCTTAACTTTGAAAATAAAGTTTGTTCGTTCCTTCGTTCAATCCTAGGGTAGAAGGAGTGAGTAGCCTGCTGTGATTGTCTATCTTGTTTATTGCTGGAAAGAAGAGAGAGGCTATGAAGATTTTGCCTAAGGTGACACTAGCATCAGTTTATATACACCAGTGTGGGCTATTGTGTTGTTGTAGCTCATGAGTTAGCCCCCCCCTCCTGTCAGGTGTATACACTGCAACTGGTGGGAAGAGTCAGCTGACAGACAGGCGCACCTACACGCACACACACACACACACACACACACACACACACTGCTACTGCTGGGTTATCTTATCAGGTCAGTTTATCTGACACAGCATAAAACAGGATTGCTGGGATCCTGTTGGGTGGTTTGTCTGTGACTGTTAGTAGATCATACATAAATAGTTTCTGGTTGGAGGGGGGGAGGCAGCGCAGTCGATAAGAGACTAGCTTTCAAATCCAGCTGCCAGCCTCTAGAAATTGGGTACTAGAGTTAACTCTAGGGTAAATGGAGGAACGTCACTGTAGCTACGGAGTTGCATGCGGACGGCCACACAAGCAAACAGTTTCTTATTAGCTGACTGTACTGGTGGCAGAGTACTTATGGTTTATAACCATGTGCAATGACGCTGGTTGACATCTCCGGACTTTACTTTTTTACCTTTTAAATAGTTTCAGGGATGGAGATATGGTATGTCAGGTAACAAGGCTGGTATCATTGTGGCGGTACCATATTGCTGCTGACCTTATTTTCTTGCACACTTGCCTTTTGTTGGTTGACAAGTCAGCAGCTCATGTTGTTTTCCTGCATTTTCAGATGGCCCTTTGGCAACATTCAAAGAAGCATCTTCTTGGGAGCAGATAGCCAAGGAAAACCCCGGCCTGCAGCCTGGTGGTCGCTACAAACCACCTGACTGTGAGGCTCGGCACAGAGTAGCTATTGTGATACCTTACAGAAACAGGGAGGAGCATTTGAAAATACTGCTGAAAAATCTACATCCCATGTTGATAAGGCAGCAGCTGGACTATGGCATTTTTGTTATAGATCAGGTGAGATGGTTTTTTGCTGTTGTTTTTTCCATGACTGTTTTCTTGTTCACCTGCTTATTTAGATCTCTGCATTCTATGATAAGTCTCCATACCTGTCTCTGTTGTATAGATCTCACAATGTATTCACTGTATCATGAAAACACATTTTTGCTTGAGATCGTAACTCTTTAGATTTCTGTAAGATCAAGGTTTTGTCAGTTTGATTGCTGACATCATCTCCGGGCCTTTTTGGTCAGTAATCGTTGATGATGGTGTTTTAACCTTGCAGTACGGGCAATCGTATCATGAGCCTATGCTTGTAGTCTGTCACCTGGCTCATTTCTGTCACTAGTCTAACCACTTCCTGACACCTTTAGGTGCTTATATATGTGCGTCTGCAGTATTGCTGTGTTGTAGTATTTGCTCTGCTCCTCTGAAGCCATATATGACTGATCAAATACATCAGTCTGTCACTTCTGAGCCATCTGATTTATGGCTAATACACTTGTCTTCTTGATCCATAATTATCCCAGCTCCACATTTGTATTCTTGATCTCCTGGGTAAATTCTTTGTATGTAAGCATTTCCTTTTCCTGCATACTCGCTAAAACCAAACATTTTGACAGTCATTCTATCCATTTGGTTCTGTGTGTTTAGCAACAATCTGTGTTGTAACAATGTCATGTCTGTCTGTGTAGCAGTCTTGTTAGTCTGTGGAAGTGACTGGCTGTATTGACATGTAACTTGGAGAAGTGACTGGCTATATGACATGTAACTTGGAGAAGTGACTGGCTATATGACATGTAACTTGGGGAAGTGACTGGCTATATGACATGTAACTTGGGGAAGTGACTGGCTATATGACATGTAACTTGGGGAAGTGACTGGCTATATGACATGTAACTTGGGGAAGTGACTGGCTATATGACATGTAACTTGGGGAAGTGACTGGCTATATGACATGTAACTTGGGGAAGTGACTGGCTATATGACATGTAACTTGGAGAAGTGACTGGCTATATGACATGTAACTTGGAGAAGTGACTGGCTATATGACATGTAACTTGGAGAAGTGACTGGCTATATGACATGTAACTTGGAGAAGTGACTGGCTATATGACATGTAACTTGGAGAAGTGACTGGCTGTATTGACATGTAACTTGGGGAAGTGACTGGCTGTATTGACATGTAACTTGGGGAAGTGACTGGCTATATGACATGTAACTTGGAGAAGTGACTGGCTGTATTGACATGTAACTTGGGGAAGTGACTGGCTATATGACATGTAACTTGGAGAAGTGACTGGCTATATGACATGTAACTTGGAGAAGTGACTGGCTATATGACATGTAACTTGGAGAAGTGACTGGCTATATGACATGTAACTTGGGGAAGTGACTGGCTGTATGAGGTTACTATCTGTATGTGATGAAGACTACTCTATCTTGTATCCGGTATGAACTGACTCTTTATGTGTCTGGAAGTGACTTATAAGTCAAATACCTGCCGGGAAGAGTCTAGGACAATGAGGGCACTGTCTGTAGACAAAGGGCCTGTTTGGTGAGTCTTTCTGGCCTGTCTTTGCTGTTCAGCAGATCATTTTGGATATATGTGCACCATAAAGTGCAGTCTTGTTCTGCAGCCTCCCAGGCGTCAGGGTTTATGTTAAATGCTTTCAATGATGCATTTAGTGTGTCCTTGAAGTGTTTTTTCTGGCCACCATGAGAATGTGTACTTTCATGTATCTCACCATAGAAATTTATTTTTGGAAGCCGATGGTCAGGCATTCAAACAATATGGCCAGTCTGTCGAATCTGTGACTGCATCGGGGTGGTATTGAATGCTTTTGTGAGGTCAGTGAAATCCATGAACAAATCACAATGCTGTTTCTGACATTTTTCTTGTAACTGCCTTTTTGCAAAAAAAGCACCGTGTCCATGGTTTTGTGTTTTTTCTGAAATCTGCATTGGCTTTCAGGTAGCAGGCCTCCATCAAGGTGTGTCACGTCGTAAGATGAGTTAGAAGTATTCTTGCAAATAGTTTTCCTGCGATAGATAGCAGGGATATGCCATGTCATGTCGTAATCCAGGCTATTCCCTTTCTGTTTGCAGCGGTTTATTACTGAGTTCATGTGGAACAATTTCAGTCTGCCAAATTTGCTGAAAAATCACAAAAAGTTTCCCTGTCAGGGCTTTTCCGTCAGCTTTATAAACCTCTTAAGGGATTAAGGCAAAGCCATGAGCTTTACAACTAGCAGTTTTAGAATCACCTTTTCAGTTTCCTCCGGGGTAGGTGCTTGTTCAAGTGACATATTTATAAGGACTTGTGGAAGGCGGTTGATAGCGTCCTTGTTAGCAGATGAGGACCGATTTAAAATATTGTTCAAATGTTTAGCCCATGTTTAAAGAATAGTTTTCTGTATCCGTGACCAGTGTTTTCCCATCTGCTTTGAGGAGATGAAGAGCTCCTGATGATGCTGATGGACCATAGACTGCCTTAAGAGCACAATAGAAATTTGTCTGGTCAGGTCTGTCAGCAAAGTTTTTCATCTACTGTTCTACTCAACCATATATCCCTCGTCTGACGTAGCTTACGATGCACCATTCTTTGCACATTTCAGAATGCATCCTTGTTGGATGTGGACTTTGGATGGCTTAGAAAGGCTTTATGGAGGCAATGTTTCTCAGCCAGAAGCTCCTGTATTTTTTCAGTTCTCATCGAACCAGTCATTTTGTTTTTTGATGGCAGGACCAAAATTCTCTGTGGCAGTGTTATAAATATTCTCCTTTAACATTGTCCAGTTAGTTTCAACGTTCTAGTCATCTAGTGGAATGAGTTGCAGTCCATCTGGTCATCAAGTAGAATGAGTTGGAGTTCATCTGGTCATCTAGTGGGATGAGTTAGAGTCCATCTGGTCATCTAGTGGAATGATTTGGAGTTCATCTTCTGGGGTGTCAACAAAAGACCGCCAAATGGCTGCCCTCGTAAGCTTGGGAATTTTTTGACTTTTGACTGATTTCTTTCCTTGAGGATGCCTGGTTGACTGGATACAAATATTGAGTTTGGAAACAATGAGACGATGATCTGTCCAGCACTGCACATGGACTTGTTCACTTGAACATCGTGACTGTCCCTTTTTCTATCACATAATGTGTGAGTGAGTGAAGTGCCAGTTTTTTGATGATGGGTGCATCCATGAAGTCCTCTTTTGGGTAGGTAGTGGAAAAATTGTTTGTGATAAGGAGATCATGCTCAGTGTATGTCGACCACTGAGATAGGGTTCCCACAAGCTGCAGTAAGCTAGTTAGGTAGTCGTGGAGCAGGCAATGTTTAGGGCAACTTTTCTAGCCACTGCCTCATGCCATGAAGGTGAGCAGTGCGTTCCTAAAGATTTCTGCTCAGGGGGCTGCGGAATCCCACAGCTGCTTCGGTAGGTGGAAGATGACCCTATGGCCCGAGCTGCCTGTGTGCAGATCTGCAACTACGACTGCCAGCGTACTCACGCCTGTCTCTTTGTCGCTCGCCCATCACCACAGGACTTGAGTGGGTTGGGTGGAATGTACACAAAAAAGTGACTGGCTCAATGAATTTGTTTAAAGGGAGGAAGAGTTTCCACAATTTTATCAACCTCACTCTCTCGCCTATATCCATCTGAAGTCAGGTGCAGTGGATGACCAGCGTGTTCTACAGGCCTTACCATGCTCTTTGCACTTCACAGTGCATTGCTGGTACCCGCCTGTTGAACCAGGTGTTCATTTCCCCAGCTCATTCAGCCGAGTCCAGACTTTGCTTGCTAGAATAGGCAGATTTTAACTCACTGAAGGCTACTAGACCATTTGGCTACCCTCACCTGCTTTAGCCGGCCTGTCAAAGAAGTTTCCCGGAGGGTGGCCGTTGCTACAGACTGGCTATATGACATACAATGAAGAACGCGATTAGTTTCATTATCCAGTCACCATGGTAACCTCTTGTGTGTACCTCACAGGCATTGCCAGGTAAATTCAACAGAGCCATGCTGATGAACATTGGCTTTGTGGAGGCTATGAAGCGATACGACTTCCAGTGTGCAGTGTTCCATGATGTGGATCTTATTCCTGAAAATGATAAAAATATTTATTCTTGCCCAGAGATGCCCAGGCATTTATCAGCTGCCATAGATAAGTTTAACTACAGGTATGTCAGTGCAGTGTTTGTAGCCTTAGATAAGTATGGTATGTCAGTGTAATGTTTGTAGCCATAGATAAGTTTAACTACAGGTTGTCAGTGTAGTGTTTGTAGCCTTAGATAAGTTTAACTACATGTATGTCAGTGTAGTGTTTGTAGCCATAGATAAGTTTAACTTCAGGTATGTCAGTGTAGTGTTTGTAGCCATAGATAAGTTTAACTTCAGGTATGTCAGTGTAGTGTTTGTAACCTTAGATAAGTTTAACTACAGGTATGTCAGTGTAGTGTTTGTAGCCTTAGATAAATTTAACTACAGGTATGTCAGTGTAGTGTTTGTAGCCATAGATAAGTTTAACTACAGGTATGTCAGTGTAGTGTTTGTAGCCATAGATAAGTTTAATTACAGGTATGTCAGTGTAGTGTTTGTAGCCTCTGTTTTGTCACTAGCCACCCCTGACTAGGTACAGTCTTTCTGACATCTCCTTTATCCATCCACATTTCAACACTGACCACCAACAAGTGTGGGACAATGTCTGATTACATCTACTCGCACATCTGATATTGGCACATCCCCCCCCCCCCCCTTTCCCCGTCTGGTTTTGGGGAAAAAACACAGAATAGACCACAGCCCCTTACAAGCATTGTGCTAGAGGAGATAATTAGGGATTTGCTTCAGTGAGATGTTGGGCTGAAAACCACACAGCAGCACGCCAACTGCTCTTGTAAGAATGAACACTGAAGAGAAGAAGACACAGCATTCTTGTATTGAACTGCCTCTAGGGAGTCTAAGCCTGCCCTTGTAAGAATGAACACTGAAGAGAAGAAGACACAATATTCTTGTATTGAACTTCCCCTAGGTGAGTATAGGCCTGCCCTAGACATATCTGTACATCTCATCACTCCCCCCCCCATCTGTTTGTACCATCTCCCCTGTGAGGTTCCGGCCCACTTCCCTTGAGATTACAACACTTTTAGTGTGACGTCCTGGGTCGTGGGTTCTCTGGATTTGGGTTTTAATGATTTATATGTTGAGTAGGGATTTTCCTCTCCACACATCCTCTCCACCAGATTAACTGAACTATTATGCGGGCTATGTTGCTCTCAGACAAAGTCCTGGATATTCAAGACAACAGCCATATTGGCTCGTTATTTATATTAACTTTAGCTGACCTTGGTACCCACAAGAGAAGGAAATGGGTTTTAGATGTCTATATACTATTATTTTGAATGATTTTTTTTAGACAGGGCAGTTGACTCAATCCGTTGACCTTCTCTTGGAAAAAAATTAGTATTATTTAATTAAACATGTAAGAACAGACACACTTGGAATTACAAAAACTGATGCAGGATAAGACCATATACTTGATTTATTAACCTGGCAATCATTTTGATTATTTATATTTTTAGTCAATAGTGATGGTATGGTGGTAATGATATGATTCAGCTAACTGAGCACCTAAGATTAGAATGAAGTGATAATGGTGGTGTTTAGTTACAGAAATACATGTTACTTAACTTTTGTTGTTTTAGAAAAGTGGAGCTTCTGAGAGTCCTCGTGTTGAGTCCCTTCTTAGCTGTTCCCACTTTTCCGCCCAGTTCTCCTGGTCCTTCCACCTGGTTTCCTGTTTCCCAGCTGGCCGAGGTCTAACACAATGTAGTCTCGTGACCGTGATGACCCTCTATTTCGGTTCTTAGAAAAGACTGATCGACACCCACATGGGAGCTGCAATAATGGAAACAAACACACGTAATAATACATTATTTCTCATCACTCCTCCTGTAGTGAATCTCATTTTCTCCCAGTTCATTTATGCCCGACAGATGACGTCAGTAATAAATGTGAGTGGAATATTTTGACTCTAACTGGGACGGCACGGGGATTGTTGAGTCTGAACTTCACGGGAGTTACAGAAAAAGGCTGATAGTCAAACTTTGTGTGAAGCATAATTATTCACGTGAATAGAAACGTTGACTGTCGAAACTTCATGCGAAATACGAGGAATCACGTGCCACACACCATGTCCAGCAAAATGGAATTCGTGAGACAGAAGGGACATGGAATATTCGGGAAAAATGAAGTGGGGATTAGCAGACTATATAATAGCGTAGAAAGGGCTAAGAAGCAGTCTCGTTTGGGTCCAGGAACAGAGTGCATGGACAACGATGGATGATGTGTGGATTCAACATGTGTTGAGTGAATTTGTTCCAGTCCAACTTGGCAAAAAAGCTGGCAGGCAAAATGTCTGCAGGCTGAGTTAGTTTTTCTGTCAGGACAGCTGTTGTTTTTTCGTTCATTATGATAGTGTAGGATGATTGTGATTTCGAACAGAAGGTAATAGACACTTTTGATATTTGAGGTATAATGTGTGCCTGGTCAGTAGTCTATTTCATGTGCCGGCTGTGTAAGCCGCGAGTAGAAGATTAAAGTGCTGAACAGTATCGTGGTGTTTTTCCAGTCGTCCATTTTCTGCTCGTCGTGAGATAGCAGCAAGCGTGCGATGATGCGAGCCAGATAGAAGATAAAAGAAAGTCATCGCACGAATGGGTGCTCGTCCAAACAATTGAGGATAAGAAATTTGTATCGGACAGTGAAATCTGAAACATCGGAAATGAGTTTTGTTATTGGCCTGACGTCGGGTAGAACCAGTTCAATATAGGAACGTAAGCGGGGAAGATTGACGGCAATAACGACACCCCATGTCCGATTGTGTACAGAATTGAACAACGTTGGAACAAATTTCAGGCTTTCAACGCTAGTAGATAAGTCCGCGATTCACGTTTTCGGCCAGTTAACCAACAAGAAGCAAAGGAAATATTGTAGATAGTGACAGTGGCAAGGAGCAGTCATCGATGGTAGCAAGGGAAAAATAACAGTAAGTCTACGCATAGATGACGTGAGACTAGGACTGTACCTCTACAACACTTCTGAAGCCCTGTGGTTTAGTCAAAATTTGCTGCCGACTAAGGTGTGGTAAAGTGCAGTGGGAAATCTGCACCGAGCAACACAAGAAAGTGTCGACACCAGATCCTGCTTTCGGATCTGCTTTCAAAAAGTACAAAGACAGTTACAACACCGGGTAGTGTGTTGACTGGAAACGGAGATCAAAAGAACCACTGCTCTGACACTGGGTATGTGTGTCACAGCTCCTCATTATCAACCGTGGCAAACAATTTGGTAGGAAACTACAGTACGAAAGCCTACGATACCTCAAGATTGGCATTCTTTGATGTCTCATGATCAACATTCATCAATACCTCAAGTTCATCGTATAATAATCGTCCAAAACACAAGAAAGCGATAATAATAAAGCTTTCCTACGACCTAAACACATTCAGTCAACAGGATAACTATCTAAATAGTCTGTGTAAATCTAAGTGTTGATTTTAGTGTGTACAGTTAGCAGTGAACTATTTGTCTACAGTTAGCAGTGAACTATTTAAGTGTGTAGTTAGCAGTGAACTAGTCATAGCATGCTATAATAATAGTACTAGTACACAACAGAAAATAAGCACACACATTGATCAATATCCAGTTTGTACAACCAGTACCTCATATTCCACATTCTCTCCAGTCTGTTCTGAAGGTCTTTGTGTCTCACACCGACGTCTGACATATCCGGCCTTCCCTCTCATGTTCTGTCATGATAGTTGACTTTCTGTTGTCCGTCATCACTCAGACTTCCAACTTGCTGACATTGATTTGACATAAACATGTGGCGCAGGTTATGTGCTGAACACGCAAAAGATTTTTTAAGTGCATGCTGTCCTGAATATTATCTTTCAGTGACAGTGAATAATATACACCCATGATTCTTCCCCTGGGGTTATAAATCCCCTGTTGAGGTGAACACATTAAGTGAGCACATGGTGGGCACACAAAACAAAACAGCATAACTGCATATGTGGGCATCATTTCCCACAGTCCAAACTCATGTTTTGGTTGATGGTTGAAACATTATAATTTCATTACATTTCAGTATACAAGTCTTATTTTATAAACATGAAAACATACACTGAAAAACATGTGGCACAAACATACAAGAAATAGAAATGGTTTAGCAGTTCCCTAACTGAGATACTGAATACTCACAAAGAACTATTTCAAGCAGAATGTGTAGGCAAATTAGGAAAAGGTAGAATAGTCTTTAGCTAACTTCCTAACCTATGTATAAAAGATTGAAAATAATTGTACAAGCTTACCTGGAATGTTCCAGCAATCGCCAAACCAGAATCAAGCCATTAGAATTACCTCTAAGGTCGACCTGTTTGTTGCTCGTGGCTGCGATTATGACGGGAATTCCAGGGCTAGCCTTATTAATACCTCTATCTGTCTGCAAGGTTAAACTCCTTCCTTTACTAGGTTCTACCCAACCCTCCAGGAGATGACCTAAGCCACGCCCCTGAGGTACCTAGCAGATCAACCTAGCTATCAATGGGCCTGTTACTCAAAGTAAACGGCCTACAGTATGACCTTGACCAATATCAGACATACCTAATTGCCAAACATCTGTTCTCCTGGGTATTTAACTGGCAGGTGTAAAAACTGTCTAGATAAGGCTGTCAGGTCTACCAGTCCACTTAATTCCCCTGATCTAGTCTGATCAAAAGGCCCCATTCAGTCTGTGTTATGTAACCTTTATGACACTAAGGTCGGGTTCAGGGGAGCTAATCTCAGGTGTGATACTAAGTTATTTCCCCCTTTACTGGCCTCTACAGTCAGTGGGCAGGAGATAATAATATGACACTGGCTGTTGAAACTCTAGATACAGTAGTATTAGGTAATATTACATAAAGCAAGGTTGCTTTGTCTGGCGAGGGACTGGAAACAAAGTTTAAACAATTCTCGAATCCCTTGTAGTGGTTTTAGAACTATTTTAGGCTCAGTGTATAGTGCTTATAATTCTTTGTCCTTCTATGAACATAAGAAATTATTAAACACAATATAACTTCTGAGACCACTGAGGTCATTTCGTCACATCCCCCACCATTAAAATTCACACAATTATTTGTTCATCTAGTATAGTGGCTCTTAACCCTCTTAGCACGGACGGGCCGATTATCGGCCGGCGGATGTCTGGCCAAAAACACGGAACGGCAGATCATCGGCCCGATCATGTTTCGCCTCGACACGCTAAGAAATCTTCTATTTTGAAACACTGAAAGTGATTCTTTTATATTCACTGCTGTATTAGCTTTACACATGGCGACTTTCTAGTGTTTGGTATCGAAGTTAAAACTGTTGTTGAATTTTTTTAGATAGTGACCTGAACCGCTAAAAGTATGTCTGACTCGTATGTTTCTGCCCCTAAACTTGACGTTGATAAAACATTTGAATCAAGTGATGACACTAATTCTGTTGATACTGATGCAGGATTTAGTGTTAGTAGTAATAGTGGGGAATCAGATGGGGACGCTGTTGTGTTCAGACCACAGCCCAACCATGGCTCAGGGTATATGCATCCGAAGGTGTTGACACTCCGGCACATCCATTTCTTGTGCTGACTGATGGTGAAAAACACATGTCACCTAAAGATATTATTGCTGTTTCATATATATGTATATACCTTTTTTTGACTATTGAATTGCTTACAACATTTGCAAAAAGGCCAAAGATCAATAAAAAGATTTCAAATTAAAATTTTTTTTTTGTTTTTAGTTTTATGTTTCAAGCATTGAAGTTGAAAATTCAAATTCAAATTTTCTATTTTTAGATATGCAAATGAGATAATTTGCATATACATCAATTAATTTTAACGATATTGTGAAAATCATGAACTTCAATCTGTATCCTTCAAATAGATATGTTGTTTCATGGGGGTGAGAATAACAGAAATCTGTCAAAAAAATTAAATAAAGTAATAACCAAATTCACTGAAAAAATGCTCAGTGTTTTTGGCTAGACCTCTGAAACACTTCCCGTGCTAAAAGGGTTAACATTTCTAATGCAACACCTTTAACACATTTTCCTCATGTTGTCCTGACCCCTAAGCAATTATTTACCTTGATAACTTCAATGAATATGTGTTTTTGATGGTCCTAGGTGACCCACATGAAAGGGTCATTTTACCCCCCCCCTCCCCCCCCACCCCCCCCCCCCCCCCCCCCCCCCAAGGGGTTGCAACCGCCAGGTTGAGAACCACTAATCTAGTATATGCAATTAGTCCATGACTGTAGTTGTGCCTGTGCAGAAGTGTCACAGTAGTTTCCAGCCAGCTTCACAAGCCTGGACCATTTGTGCTTCATTGACTGACTGACTGACTTTCTACCCCACCAGGACATCACACAAGCGACAAACACCCGATGACACAAAGTGCCACCATATGGATGAGGATCGCCGTGGAGAGGTCCCAGAAACCGCGTTCAGACATTTGGCCATATTTATGGCTTGCCTATATTGCGGCCCCTGGCAAAAGCCAGAGTGGGGCTTCAAATAACAAAAAAGTTCGTCCTAAAAAGGACGAAACTGGATGGTATGTGCTTCATTGTCTGACAGATGTCTTTATTGGGGCATACAGTTATCACCTGCAAGTCCTGGATGCTGTAATACTATACTGAAGTCTAGAAAGCTGTAACATTATTGTGAAATACAGAAAGCTGTAACATTATTGTGAAATACAGAAAGCTGTAACATTATTGTGAAATACAGAAAGCTGTAACATTATTGTGAAATACAGAAAGCTGTAACATTATTGTGAAATACAGAAAGCTGTAACATTATTGTGAAATACAGAAAGCTGTAACATTATTGTGAAATACAAAGTGCTGTGACAGTGTTGATTTTATCAAGGCCATGTTGAACATTTATGTGATGTCTGTTTCAGATTACCTTACTCTGGGATCTATGGCGGTGTCAGTGCTGTCACCAAGGCACAGTTTGAAAAAATGAATGGCTTTTCTAACATGTTCTTTGGCTGGGGTGGTGAAGATGATGACATGGCTGCCAGGTAGCAGTGTTTGTCTGTGGTTCAAATCTTTTGCTTAACATGAGGGCATATCTAGATATGCTCTGTTGTGTTTGTGATGTTTGATTCCGATAAACCCAGGAGACTGCAGCAGCTTGAGTGTAATGGGTCAGTGACTGTGTGGTCATATGTGACTGTTTGGTCGTAGGTGACTGTGTGGTCGTAGGTGCCTGTGTGAGGTCGTAGGTGACTGTGTGTGGTCGTAGGTGACTGCAATGACTCTCCTTTATCACTCTGGCTCTAGTCACTGCAGACTACTCTTTCACATCCCGACATCAGCACGACGTGTAGACATGGACGACAGCGAACAACACAAGACTGTTTTTACCCTTTATTCTTCCACACTCTGTTTCCTCAGCCGGAACATGAAATAAAACAGGTCTAGGGTTGATGCAAACAATGATGCTAAATGTCAACATTACCTACACTCATCGAAACACATCCGCTCATTCCAAAATCACACTAGCACACAATTCAGCTGGCAGACGCAGTTTCCCGTCGATCGTTGTTGTTTGGTCAGGTAAGGCGTTTGAAGCGACATTCAGACTTAGACACATTCTGGATCCACAAACACTCCTCCGTTCTTCATGCATTTCTTGGCCCAAACGAGACTGCCCACATGCTCTTTCTAAGGCATTATATAACCTTCTAACGCCCACATTACGACTTTTTGTGTTTTCCGATTCACATGGGTTTCATTTGGCCAACATTTTATCCATGATTCACACGGGTTTCATTTAGCCAGCATTTTATCCGTGACTCATGTCGCTGCCCTTGTTACACTCAAAAATCCCATTCATATTTATTAGCTGACGTCATTCTGTCTAGGACATAATTTATCGAAGAGAAAATGGTTCACTACAGTGACTGTGTGTGGTTGTAGGTGACTGTGTGTGGTCCTAGGTGACTGTGTGTGGTTGTAGGTGACTGTGTGTGGTCCTAGGTGACTGTGTGTGGTTGTAGGTGACTGTGTGTGGTTGTAGGTTACTGTGTGTGGTCGTATGTAACTGTGACTGTGTGTATGGCTACAATGTAGGAGTCATGTTTTCTCCCTAGGTATATTTTCACCTAATAGTTTACTTATTTACATAATTGATACAGTCCTCATCTGATTGCATCCCTTTCTTCTTCTGTTCCCCCACTTACCTCAGCTATCTTTTGTTCCCCTACTTACCTCAGCTATCTTTTGTTCCCCCATATACCTCATCTATCTTTTGTGTCCTCTTTCTAATGCAGTGTTTAAGTTGGTCTTCATTTCTCTAAGGTAATTCTCTAGCAGAGCTCTCTGAGGTAGTTGGGCAGAAGGCAGTCTTGTATAATGGCCAGACCTGTTAATGTATTATTTTTGAATGAATTATATGACTAGTTTTGGTACTAGACTTCTCTCATCACATGTAGCAGCTCCTTTGCAGAATCTCACTCTCATCACGGTCTGCCTGGAAGAAACTCGGTCTCTCCCTAGCCACCCCGCCTTGTGCTTTTTCACATTCTTGAAAGACTTCTATTCAGATTTTCATTAATTTAAATTTCTTTCTTGTTACTCTTTCAGCTTTCCTACGACACTCCATCTCTTATTGTTGTGATTTTCTGCTTAATATTTGTAGTATGACGAGTTATCTGATAACATGATTTGTGTCTGCAATCATGTCTTGATTTCTGGGCAGCTCATACTTGTAGATGTTTTGACAAGTAGTTTGCTGGGCAGCTCATACTTGTAGATGTTTTGACAAGTAGTTTGCTGGGCAGCACATGCTTGTGGATGTTTTGACAAGTAATTTGCTAGGCAATACATGCTTGTAGATGTTTTGACAAGTAATTTGCTAGGCAATACATGCTTGTAGATGTTTTGACAAGTAATTTGCTAGGCAGTACAAACTTTCTTATATTATTATCTATATAGATGCAGTATCCCATAGCTGTTGATGTCATTGACCTGCATAGAATAATGCTAGTTCATCATTGCAGCCACGTCGTTACCAGTCGCTAGCTTTGAGTCATTACAAAAGTAACAACATACTACTTTGACATGCATGTCTGATGTCTGTCAAAGTTCCGATGTCTGTAAGGCATGTATCCTACTGACTCTTGCATGTCTGTAAGGCTTGTATCTTACTGACTCTTGCATGTCTGTAAGGCTTGTATCCTGCTGACTCTGGCATGTCTGATGTCTGTCAAAGTTCTGGTGTCTGTAAGGCTTGTATCCTGCTGACTCTGGCATGTCTGATGTCTGTCAAAGTTCTGGTGTCTGTAAGGCTTGTATCCTGCTGACTCTGGCATGTCTGATGTCTGTCAAAGTTCCGGTGTCTGTAAGGCTTGTATCCTGCTGACTCTGGCATGTCTGACTTGTATCCTGCTGACTACTGGCCATGTCTGATGTGTATCTGTCAAAGTTCCGATGTCTGTAAGGCTTGTATCCTACTGACTCTTGCATGTCTGTAAGGCTTGTATCCTGCTGACTCTGGCATGTCTGATGTCTGTCAAAGTTCTGGTGTCTGTAAGGCTTGTATCCTGCTGACTCTGGCATGTCTGATGTCTGTCAAAGTTCTGGTGTCTGTAAGGCTTGTATCCTGCTGACTCTGGCATGTCTGATGTCTGTCAAAGTTCCGATGTCTGTAAGGCTTGTATCCTGCTGACTCTGGCATGTCTGATGTCTGTCAAAGTTCCAGTGTCTGTAAGGCTTGTATCCTGCTGACTCTGGCATGTCCGATGTCTGTCAAAGTTCCGATGTCTGTAAGGCTTGTATCCTACTGATACTGGAATATCTGCTGTCCATCTACAGAATTGCACATGCTGGCTTCAAGATCACCAGGTACCCGATGGAGATAGCCAGGTATAAGATGATTAAACATAACAATGACAGAGGCAATGAGCAGAACCCACAGAGGTAAGTCAGCAGCTGACCATTGTTATCTTCATCTCATTGTTGTCATAATGTCACCAAATGCAGGTATTGAGCACTGGTTAGCACCACAGTGAACTGGTTGACAGCTATCAGGAGACATCAGAGATAGTGGCCCCCTGCTGTATAGACTCCAGCTTGCAGGCTCACACAGTTAAGGCCGAGTGTTTGTGGTGTCTTGAAAGCAGCCCAGTCAGTAACTTGAATCTCCTCACATTCACCCACAGTCAAGGCAGAAAATGTTGCAGGTAAACACCAAGAGGCACTTGTGATTGAAGCTGCTGCTACAGGTTCTACATTGACACTTTGCACACATGCTGGGCGTGGCAACACAAAGCAACCTCTATGGCTCATGGGGGACAGACTTGTTTTCTGGTGCTATCTGGTCCTGCCTGTAACAGTTTGGTAATACGCTGTCTGATACAAGGTGTGGTTGGTTTGTGCTAGCCCTTAAACAGAGCTTCAGGATTGAGGTAATCCTTGGATCTATGCTGAGAACCATGGGACTGAGTGAGAGGATTGAGGTAATGCATGGATCTATACTGAGAACTATGTGACACAGAGTGAGAGGACTGAGGTAACGCTTGGATCTCTACTGAGAACTATGTGACACAGAGTGAGAGGACTGAAGTAACACTTGGATCTCTACTGAGAACTATGTGACACAGAGTGAGAAGACTGAGATAACGCTTGGATCTCTACTGAGAACTATGTGACACAGAGTGAGAGGATTGAGTTAATGCTTGGATCTATGTGACACAGAGTGAGAGGATTGAGGTAATGCATGTATCTATACTGAGAACTATGTGACACTGAATGAGAGGACTGAGGTAACGCTTGGATCTCTACTGAAAACTATGTGACACTGAATGAGAGGATTGAGTTAACGCTTGGATCTCTAACTGAAAACTATGTGACACAGAGTAAGAGAATTGAGGTAATGCTTGGATCTCTACTGAAAACTATGTGACACAGAGTAAGAGAATTGAGGTAATGCTTGGATCTATGTGACAGAGTGAGAGGATTGAGGTAACCCTAGGATCTGTACCGAAACTCATGTGACATAGAGTGGGAGGATTGATGTGATAAAAAGACTTACTGGCCTGCCTGTAAACCCCCCTCCCCCTCCCCTTTCCCTCCATGTGTGGCCCCTTGTCTACTTTCAGGAATAGAGAACAAACAAATCTTAGTAGTTGTGGTGTGCATGGCTGACACCAGCGAACAGAAACATCTGTAGATATGCAGGGATCTGTGATGACCAGTGCTTAGAGTGTAGATGAATGTCTAGCCAGAAAGTAATTGAGGTAGTTGGCATCCATACACCCGGATATCTTGCAGACACTTCAAGAGAGTGTGATGGGTGTAGTTTGCATCCATATGCCTTGATATATGCTTGTGGGTCTAACCAGTTGGTATCCATACACCTGGATATATGCTTGTGGGTCTAACCACGGCCTTCTCTATTTATAGGTCAACGGGGATTCCCGTTCTTGTGCAAGAATTGAGTCCCTCTGTGTTAACAGGTTTTTATCGAGGAGATGTGTACACAAATTAAACTACAGTTTCATTAATTTTCGACATATTTTATAGAACTATACGTCATTTTAAGGTAATTATGTGTGCTACAAACTAAATATAACAATAAAGGCTCTTACAGACAAACTAAAATGCTTTTGCTACAGTTAACATGAACATAAACATCAATAACGTTGTAGGAATAAACTGAAAGCTATTCCAGCAAAAGTAAAGAAATATCAGTGCTAACTCTTTGATTCTGAGAGGGTATTGTTGCATCAGAGGGGTGGGGGGGGGGGGGTGACATTTGTACTTTATCAAATTGAGCACATAAAAATACTTCTGTGAAACATACACAAGAAAGTCCAGAATTAGATGAACAACCAGAAGTTTACAGCCAGTGTTTGCAAAGCAGAAAATTCACAAAAATGAACACAGACCGTACAACTGCAAATGTACATAAGAAGTAGATAAACAACCAGAAGTTTCTGCCAAAGTTAACAGCCAGTGTTCGCGAAGCAGAAAATTCACAAAAATGAACACAGACCGTACAACTGCAAATGTACATAAGAAGTAGATGAACAACCAGAAGTTTCTGTCAAAGTTTACAGCTAGTGTTCGCGAAGCAGAAAATTCACAAAAATGAACACAGACCGTACAACTGCAAATGTATATAAGAAGTAGATGAACAACCAGAAGTTTCTGCCAGAGTTTACAGCCAGTGTTTGCGAAGCAGAAAATTCACAAAAATTAACACAGACCGTACAATTGCAAATGTGCATAAGAAGTAGATGAACAACCAGAAGTTTCTGCCAGAGTTAACAGCCAGTGTTCGTGAAGCAGAAAAGTCACAAAAATAATAAAATTGTTTGTGTACTTCTACAACATATAATTATACTGTTAGTCAACAATTAGTAAAGAGGCAATGAGTGACTTGCTGTGAGAGGTTAGTTAGTAAATAAAATATTGTTTTTAGGCACTTACCCAGAGCTTCGAAATATCTTGACACAATTTATCCACAGTGTGGTTGCACCATTTATGCACAGTCAATATGAAAGCAATAGTTTTCTTCCAACACAAGATAGTTTGCACCTGACAACTGTCGATATTCTCCAGATATGGCTTCTAAATTATCTGTTTGTATTTTCCCCAAAAGTAGGATTTCTACATTCAAAGTAAAAAAAGAATAAACAGCCAGTTCCCAAAAATCCAAGCTACTGACTAGAAACAGTGACACACACATCACAACTGTCTGACGTGAATTTAAATTCAAATTGCTGTTATTTAACAGCAAAGTTTGAAAATCTTGTATATCCATTTCACAATATCCGCTTGTCTATTTGTAATACGAATACATTCAGAACACAGAACTTTGTAAGCACGTTAAAATGTCACACAATGCAACATGGAAACGCTTCCAGTAACCAATTTTCGAGGGGACTCTGCCAAAATGTACCGTGATTTAGTTGTAAGGACCTATATACAGAAGGACCTTGTCTAACACAGTTTGCGTCCATACACCTCTTGATATATGTTTGTGGGTCTAGCTAGTTGGCATCCATACACCTGGATATATGTTTGTGGGTCTAGCCAGTTGACATCCATACACCTTGATATATATTTGTGGTTCTATCCAGTAGGCATCTATACACCCGGATATCAAACAAATGAACGAACAAACTTTATTTTCAAAGGGTTAAGAATTGGTTACGCAGGCCTGTCTAACATTCTGCCCTTCCACTCCGCTCCTTTCATACCATTTTTCATTTGTACCTCATTTCATAGTTAATAATAATAATAATTATAAAAAGAGGAATACAAAATTAAAAATTTAAGAATTATAGAAAAGAACCCAAAAATTTTACAATATCTAAGTTCTAATTACAAATGCTGGAATGTGCTCTAATTTATACTGACATTACTTGAATGTTTTAAAGAGTATAAAAAGCCTATTCCAAAAATGAAGTAAGTCTTACAGGTTGCATAATATAAACATCATCAAAACCGATTGAATATTAGTTACAAACACTGGAATGCGTTCGACTGGCATCTTCAGTTTTAAACAATAATAACCTTCAGTTTTTACACCCCCCCCCCCGAAAATTTTTAAATTTTATTTTATAAGACATCTCATGGAAATTTATCATAGCCTTAACATACTATAATCTTTTAAGGGGGCATATAGTCTATAGTGAGATAATATTCAAAAAGTTTCCGATTGTATCTAAAGGGGTTATTGATATTTTTAATTTCCGGTGGAAGATGATTCCACAGCTGAGCTGCAGAGTACGCTAGGCTTGTTTTGTATAGGTCTATTCTAGGTTCAGAGATATGCAATATGTTAAGGCGATTGCTATGTCTTCCATTGTATTTAAATAATGGCCAAAGGTAACATGGAGCATTTTTAGAAAAGATTTTATTAAGTTTAGCTTTATTAAATAGTAGGCGTTCCTGGAGCGGTAATAGCATGAGTTCTTTATATAGGTATCTGCTGAAGGCGATACTTGTGTGGTTGACTTACCATTGCTCCAGCTGATGTGCTGTAGTCATAGATTTCTCTGTCATATCTTCACCATCCTATAGCTTTTAATTGCTGCAAGTGTAATATGTATGTATGTATATGAATGCCATCCTTAGGTTTGCCCTGTTGAAGACCACTGCCAAACGTATGGCCACAGATGGGTTGAATTCACTCAAGTATTCAGTCCCAGTAGTTGAGGAGTTACCTACACATCTGAGGATTCAGGTTTTAATCAACGAACAAGATATACTCAAGGTCAGCTTGTTGTCATGAATTACCTATGGCTGAAGTATTGGGGGGGGGGGGGGGGGGGGGGGGGGGGGAATTGCATGTGCTGAGAGAAAAAGTATAGAAGGGTCAGTTTAAAAGAGAACAACAAGTTATCTGTAGTTGATGCCACTCTGTTGATGTTCCATGTGCTCATTAATTCTACCCTAGCCGCCTAGAGGTAGATACCTGAGGATCTTGTGATTCCTCTTCTAGCCTAGCCGCCTAGAGGTAGATACCTGAGGATCTTGTGATTCCTCTTCTAGCCTAGCCGCTTGAGGTATATACCTGAGGATCTTGTGATTCCTCTTCTAGCCTAGCCGCCTAGAGGTAGATACCTGAGGGTCTTGTGATTCCTCTTCTAGCCTAGAGGTAGATACCTGAGAATCTTGTGATTCCTCTTCTAGCCTAGAGGTAGATACCTGAGGATCTTGTGATTCCTCTTCTAGCCTAGAGGTAGATACCTGAGGATCTTGTGATTCCTCTTCTAGCCTAGAGGTAGATACCTGAGGATCTTGTGATTTCTCTTCTAGCCTAGAGGTAGATACCTGAGAATCTTGTGATCCCTCTTCTAGCTTGTGATTCCTATTCTAGGTATCCGCCTAGAGGTAGATACCTGAGGATCTTGTGCCTAGCCGCCTAGAGGTAGATACCTGAGGATCTTGTGATTCCTCTTCTAGCCTAGAGGTAGATACCTGAGAATCTTGTGATTTCTCTTCTAGCCTAGCCGCCTAGAGGTAGATACCTGAGGATCTTGTGATTCCTCTTCTAGCTCTAGAGGTAGATACCTGAGAATCTTGTGATTCCTCTTCTAGCCTAGCCGCCTTGAGGTAGATACCTGAGGATCTTGTGATTCCTCTTCTAGCCTAGAGGTAGATACCTGAGAATCTTGTGATTCCTCTTCTAGCCTAGAGGTAGATACCTGAGGATCTTGTGATTCCTCTTCTAGCCTAGAGGTAGATACCTGAGAATCTTGTGATTCCTCTTCTAGCCTAGAGGTAGATACCTGAGGATCTTGTGATTCCTCTTCTAGCCTAGCCGCCTAGAGGTAGATACCTGAGGATCTTGTGATTCCTCTTCTAGCCTAGCCGCCTAGAGGTAGATACCTGAGGATCTTGTGATTCCTCTTCTTCTAGATACCTAGAGGTAGATACCTGAGGATCTTGTGATTCCTCTTCAGCCTAGAATCTTGTGATTCCTCTTCGCCTAGAGGTAGATACCTGAGGATCTTGTGATTCCTCTTCTAGCCTAGCCGCCTAGAGGTAGATACCTGAGGATCTTGTGATTCCTCTTCTAGCCTAGCCGCCTAGAGGTAGATACCTGAGGATCTTGTGATTCCTCTTCTAGCCTAGCCGCCTAGAGGTAGATACCTATCTTGTGATTCCTCTTCTAGCCTAGAGGTAGATACCTGAGGATCTTGTGATTCCTCTTCTAGCCTAGAGGTAGATACCTGAGAGGATCTTGTGATTCCTCTTTCTAGCCTAGAGGTAGATACATGAGAATCTTGTGATTCTCTTCCTCTTCTAGCCTAGCCCGCCTAGAGGTAGATACCTGAGGATCTTGTGATTCCTCTTCTAGCCTAGCCGCCTAGAGGTAGATACCTGAGGATCTTGTGATTCCTCTTCTAGCCTAGCCGCCTAGAGGTAGATACCTGAGGATCTTGTGATTCCTCTTCTAGCCTAGAGGTAGATACCTGAGGATCTTGTGATTCCTCTTCTAGCCTAGCCGCCTAGAGGTAGATACCTGAGGATCTTGTGATTCCTCTTCTAGCCTAGCCGCCTAGAGGTAGATACCTGAGGATCTTGTGATTCCTCTTCTAGCCTAGAGGTAGATACCTGAGGATCTTGTGATTCCTCTTCTAGCCTAGAGGTAGATACCTGAGGATCTTGTGATTTCTCTTCTAGCCTAGAGGTAGATACCTGAGGATCTTGTGATTCCTCTTCTAGCCTAGAGGTAGATACCTGAGGATCTTGTGATTCCTCTGCTGCTGCCTACTCACATGCATATGCATGGCTTGATCTAGCCTTCTGTGTGTGTGTGTGTGTGTGTGTGTGAAGATGTGTTTCTACCTAAAAACTACTGCTACAACAGCACAAGAACTCAACAAAATCAAAAGCACACAATATCTAAAACTTCAGTACACAGCCATGGTCTCTAAACTATTTCAGGTGGCATCTTTCCCCCACAGCACAGAGGGGTATGTCCTGTATACTGTCACCAGCAGGGGTATGTCCTGTATACTGTCACCAGCAGGGGTATGTCCTGTATACTGTTACCAGCACAGAGGGGTATGTCCTGTATACTGTTACCAGCACAGAGGGGTATAACCTGTATACTGTCACCAGTACAGAGTGGCATGTCCTGTATACTGTCACCAGTACAGAGTGGTATGTCCTGTATACTGTCACCAGTACAGAGGGGCATGTCCTGTATACTGTCACCAGTACAGAGTGGTATGTCCTGTATACTGTCACCAGCAGGGGTATGTCCTGTATACTGTCACCAGCACAGAGTGGTATGTCCTGTAAACTGTCACCAGCAGGGGTATGTCCTGTATACTGTCATCAGTACAGAGTGGTATGTCCTGTATACTGTCACCAGCAGTGGTATGTCCTGTATACTGTCACCAGCAGGGGTATGTCCTGTATACTGTCACCAGCACAGAGTGGTATGTCCTGTATACTGTCACCAGCAGGGGTATGTCCTGTATACTGTCACCAGCACAGAGTGGTATGTCCTGTATACTGTCACCAGTACAGAGTGGTATGTCCTGTATACTGTCACCAGCAGGGGTATGTCCTGTATACTGTCACCAGCACAGAGTGGTATGTCCTGTATACTGTCACCAGTACAGAGTGGTATGTCCTGTATACTGTCACCAGTACAGAGTGGTATGTCCTGTATACTGTCACCAGCAGGGGTATGTCCTGTATACTGTCACCAGCAGGGGTATGTCCTGTATACTGTCACCAGTACAGAGTGGCATGTCCTGTATACTGTCACCAGCAGGGGCATGTCCTGTATACTGTCACCAGTACAGAGTGGTATGTCCTGTATACTGTCACCAGCAGGGGTATGTCCTGTATACTGTCACCAGCAGGGGTATGTCCTGTATACTGTCACCAGCAGGGGCATGTCCTGTATACTGTCACCAGTACAGAGTGGCATGTCCTGTATACTGTCACCAGCACTTGCTTAGATTTTTTGTGTGGCAACAAGTGACATAGATACAACCTGCACATTCAGACCCATAAAACATGGCAAAACATGTATGTAACCTGTACTTTATTCACAATACTCTCCTTGTTTTCTTCAGGGAAAGATGTAACCAGTGTTTGATAGCTGAATACAAGATGGCAGGGGTGTGATGCAGGCATCAATAGGTCACACAGACGGGAACTCCCAGAGTTGTCCTACAAGTCACAGATTGACACATCTCATCCTACTGGCAGTGTAACCTTCACCCAGGAGTTCGCAGATATTTCTAATTGAAACTAAAACACCGCTGCCCACAGACACATCACTTGTGGCCTCAACTGATACTATATCTAGAATATCATGGATACTAGGCAGTGTACTACTACAAAGCTGTGTGGGGTTTCTTTACAGTGACTTCCTTCCAACACTCACTAGGTGCCTGCAGGCAGTGAGCCTCATTACTTTAGGGGAACACTGCCAGGTCTCAGCTATGACATTGGTGATTGGCTTCAATGAGTGTCTCCTAGACTTGGGGAAAAACAAACTGTTGTGCGGGAATAAGGCACATGATTGTGGTCATGGCAACTCAAACAATTATTAAGAATTGGCAGTCCTGCTGTCTGTGCTGGATACTGTGATAAAACGTGTAGCCACTATCAGTCATGTTGTCTCTTCTGATTGTGGGAATTCAAGGTACAAGGAGGCACTAGTAGTGCTGCGAGATGTGTGGTGCTACGAGATGTGTGGCGCTACGAGACACGTCCCATCTTATAACGGCCTTAATTGAAGTTTGTTGTGAGATTTACTTTTTCCTGAGCAGTTTAAATTAAATAGGCAAATTATTGGGCACCAGAAGACAGGTTATTAAATGAGGAATCAAATAAGATAATGAAGCCTCAGGAGATAATTTTGCAAAGAAGTCAATATTTAAATATAAGACATGTTGAGGGCTTTGAACATCCCAACATGAATCAGTAACTATCTGTGACATATGGTAATTATAGGTTGGTAACCTGATATTTTCCTCAGTACCCACAGCAGAAGTCAAAGAAGTCCAGCAGAAACAGATCTGATGAGCTTCGTTACTGAAAATATCTGAGATCAGCTTGTAGAAAATATCAGTGTTAGAAAGTTCTCCCACTGTGCTCACTCCGCACGCACCACTATTTTTGTCAGGTTTGGATCTTGTTCATGCCCCCCCACTGCCTATGTGGTTGTACATGCTTCCCCACTGCATATGTGGTTGTTCGATCTCCCCCCCCCCCCCCATTGAAACATGTGGTTGTACATGCTTTCCCACTGCATATGTGATTGTTCGATCTCCCCCCCCCCCCATTGAACATGTGGTTGTACATGCTTTCCCACTGCATATGTGGTTGTTCGATCTCCCCCCCCCCCCCTTATTGAACATGTGGTTGCACATGCTTTCCCACTGCATATGTGATTGTTCGATCTCCCCCTCCCCCCTCTTAACATGTAGTTATACATGCTTCCCCACTGCATATGTGATTGTTCGATCTCCCCCCTCCCCCTCCTCCCATTTAACATGTAGTTATACATGCTTCCCCACTGCATATGTGGTTGTTCGATCTCCCCCGCCCCCCTCCTCCCATTTAACATGTAGTTTTATACATGCTTCCCCACTGCATATGTGATTGTTCGATCTCCCCCGCCCCCCTCCTCCCATTTAACATGTAGTTATACATGCTTCCCCACTGCATATGTGGTTGTTCGATCTCCCCCCGCCCCCCTCCTCCCATTTAACATGTAGTTATACATGCTTCCCCACTGCATATGTGGTTGTTCGATCTCCCCCTCCCCCTCCTCCCATTTAACATGTAGTTATACATGCTTCCCCACTGCATATGTGGTTGTTCGATCTCCCCCCGCCCCCCTCCTCCCATTTAACATGTAGTTATACATGCTTCCCCACTGCATATGTGGTTGTTCGATCTCCCCCTCCCCCCTCCTCCCATTTAACATGTAGTTATACATGCTTCCCCACTGCATATGTGGTTGTTCGATCTCCCCCCGCCCCCCTCCTCCCATTTAACATGTAGTTATACATGCTTCCCCACTGCATATGTGGTTGTTCGATCTACCCCCCCCCCCCCCCCCATTGAACATTTGGTTGTGCCTGCTTCCCCACTGCACATGTGGTTGTACGTGCTTCCCCGCTGCTCATGTGCTTGTACGTGCTTCCCCACTGCCCATGTGCTTGTACGTGCTTCCCCACTGCCCATGTGGTTGTACGTGCTTCCCCACTGCACATGTGGTTGTGCCTGCTTCCCCACTGCACATGTGGTTGTGCCTGCTTCCCCACTGCACATGTGGTTGTGCGTGCTTCCCCACTGCCCATGTGCTTGTACGTGCTTCCCCACTGCCCATGTGCTTGTACGTGCTTCCCCACTGCCCATGTGCTTGTACGTGCTTCCCCACTGCCCATGTGGTTGTACGTGCTTCCCTGCTGCTCATGTGGTTGTACGTGCTTCCCCACTGCCCATGTGGCTGTACGTGCTTCCCCACTGCCCATGTGGTTGTATGTGCTTCCCCACTGCACATGTGGTTGTACGTGCTTCCCCACTTCA